TCTTAAAGTTGTGGGCGCTGGAGCTCCTCATGGTCCTACGAGCGTCCATCTCGAACCAAAGCCGAAAGCGAGTTAGCCTGCGCGGCGTGGGGATGCCTGCTTGCTGCTATCTCTGCTGAGGTTCAGCTCTGGTGATCGAGTCGCTGCGACCTGATGACGGTGACTTGAAGGACTCCTGAGTGTTTTATACCCGTAGCAGGCGCTCGCCCACAGAAGTGGGCAGCGGGGGATCCTCTCTACGTCAGCCCGGGAGGAGGGGTGAGAGTCCCCCCAGGAAGCGACTGGAAAGGCAGCGGCAGTGCGAGTGTGTGTCTCTGTCCACACGGTGGTGTTGCCTTAAAAAGTAACCCAGCACCGTCTGCTTCTTATTTTGTCATTTTCCCGGAAAGCCCAATATGACAGGAATGGAGATAATGTGTGGTGGAGTTCTTGTTTGAAGTTTCAACACTTACTTGGAAGAAGTATGAATATCTTTAGGCATGACCACTGCTCATCAAGAAAACTGCTTGTGTGGTCACATGTACTCTCAAGGGGGTTGGGGGAGGACAGTAGGTGTGAAAACTCATTTGTCTCATTTGGTGTAGGCCAGTTTGGACACGAGCCGAGAGCCGCCTACAATGCAGAACAACAGACGGAGAGGGAAAGGTGAAACCCAGCGGTGGAGCGAGATGATCTAACACGACATATGGACCTATTTCACATATTTATGAAAACAGACAGAGTCAGAATTATTTGACTGTTAAAGGTCTAACGAATTGGCCTCCTCTTACCTGGTTGAATATTGTGCCAATTCCTCTCCTGGCTCACCACGGTGAAGGCCACTGTGCCCTCTGGATAAGTCACAGAATCACTCTCATTATTCTTTGGCTCCAGTACAAACAGGCTGCTGGGGAAGGTGCCATGCAACATGGACGTGGGATGGGACGGGACACGGAGGTCTTGTGAGTCGTGTCAGAGCAGGGGTGGGCTGCTTTTACTCACTAATGAGTTCTGCTTTGCTTGACACGCGTCGGGGCCAGGTCCACATGATGCACATCATCTGTTCCTGAGTGAACACACACTCACCAAAACCTGCTCCATGGAAGGTCATGTGCAGCTCCAAGCTGTGAGCGCAGCGCGGGGCACAAGTGTGGAGTCACACTGTTTCTTGGCTGAAGTGAAGTATATGAGGGAGGCAAACGTGTGTGTGACTAGTGGACCTCATGGGGACTAAAGCCTGGGCCTGATCAGGCCAAACATCACTTCTGAGCAGATGGTTCAGGTTAGGGGTAAGATGTGAACTGTGGTTAGGTCAAGGTAAGGGTGAGGCATGAATCGGTCATGGTTAGGGTTAAGGTTGTTGACTGTCCACAATAAATGAAGGTCAATGGAGAGTATCAATAGGATAGGTGTGTGTGTGTGTGCAAGGTTCACAGTGCCTATACCACTGATTAAGATTATCCAGAGACACTGTGGAGTATTTGTGCACCTATGTGTTTGCACCTGTTTCTAATTTGAGACATGTGTAAAACATATATTATGATACATACAGAAATAAAATGTAGAATGTATTTCACAACATACACACTCACCTCCTGCAGTCAGATCTGCCCTCTCACTCTCAGCAGCCTGCTGCTATGTCAAAGTGAATCATGGGTACTCTGGCATTAGAACTGGTGTAAACACAGCATGTCCATGTTGCTGACTCCATAACCTGCACATGTACACACACACACACACACATGCAAAGTGATGAAGACCTTTTCTATTTTCAGGGTCAAGAGGATGAGGCATCTCCAAGAGGTGGACTTTTTATACACTAAGTGTTAAAAAAATACATTGATCAATCTATTCCAGTAAGGCAGGAAGCTTCTTCTCTATATTTCTTTGTGATTAAGTTTTTTTTCCCTGTTTAGGGTTGGTCAAGAATCATAACACTGAGAATTAAAGGACAAGGTTCTGCACCTTATTTCAAATCCAGTGCAATGTGGAGAAATTCATGAATCAGACAAAATGTGGGCGTCATTTGTGGCATCGAAAGACTTTTTAACAAGACAATGAATCATTTGATATTTAGTTGTTGTGTCAGGAGAGAAGCTCCAATGTCTAAAGTTCATATTTGCAAAACCTTCTACCGTGGTTAAATGTGGGCATCAGTCTTTCTTCTTTCACCACGAGTTTGAAAATTAAAAAGCATTCGTATGAAATCCTCTTAACTACCCTTTAAAAAGTTTGAAGAGGTAAAATAAGAGAAACCTTTGCTGTAGATGTGTGTGTGCATGTAGCCACTAAAACAGGCAGCAAAGGTTAAACAGAGGCATCTTATACAGCCAAAAGTATGTGGACAACTAAACATTACATGCTAAAAATGCACTCAGCATGAGTGAGGTTCATCAAAGATATTGGGTGAAACAACCAGTGCACTCTTTCCTCCCAAAGCTGCCCTATGAGGCATTAGTTAAAGTAAAACTACATTAGTATTGATTGAAAACATGCACATGAAAAACCTTTGTGAGATAATGACTAGTATGATTAATGTATTATTCTTTACTGATGCTTTCATATGTAAGTAGCATTAACTGTTGTACCTTGTGGTGCTATTAATGTTTCATGATAAATATTTTTTTTAAATCTCACGTTTTATTTGTAAAAGTGTTTAACACTGTAACTGCAACTGTGTGAAAAAAAGAAAACATTTTCCCAGTGATATGTAAAGCAGTAAAATTAGTATTAAACTATAATACACAGTGCAACAGTATCAGACCTTGAACAGGGCTCATGCAAATTTAGGCTACTCTCCACAATACTGAAACAGACCATGAACAACAACCCCAGAACACAGGTACACAAAAGTGTCCATATACATTTGTCCACATGAACGTCACTGCGTTCAGTGATTCATTCAGGATTCATTTGTTGTGCTTATATCTGGGTTACAGCCTGAAACATCAATCAGCTCACTAGGTCGTTACCTTTTGTGTGATTCATTAGTTCAGTACTGGATGTGCGTTCAGACAGCAGCTCACCACATCAGATGGAAAACAGAGCATTGAAACTCACAGCATGCGGCCATTAACATCTCCTGCTGCTCCCATCAAAGAGAGCAGATGCATGAAAAAGTTTTGAGTGAGTTTACCAAATCTGCATCAAGACAGAAATCCTCAGTGTTTGCAACAGATTCCACCTAGAAAAAGCTTGCGTATACACACACACACACACACACACACACACACACACACACGCACACACACACACACACACACATACACACAACACATAAATAATCACCTCATTAACAGACTTATTTTTATCATCCTCTCCTCCCACCTTCACTTCATATCTGTCATACATTTTTTTATGCAAGACTGTATTTTTAAATCGACTAGATACTGAGGATGATGACGCAGATGAAAAAGGAAAGAACCTGTCACATATGCACATGTCCCCTGCACACACACGCACACGCACATGCACATGCACATGCACATGCACACACACACACACACACACACACACACACGCTGGGCATGACAGACGTTGTGGGGCTCGTGGTGTTGTGCCAGAGCAGGTGAGAATTTGAGAGAGGCTGTTGTGGAGGAGTGTCCCTGTTATTTCAGGTTCAAACTGCCAGAGATATTTCTTTAGCCCCCAGACGATTCTGTCCCGTGTGAAACTTCATAAGCACTGTCAATAACAACATGACAACTCCCACCAGACCATCAGTGTGGTGTGTGGATCACTGAATAATCTGGAAGTCGTTTTTCCCACTTCATTCATTAAATCAGATCAGACCGATGTTAAAACCTTTGGTCAGTTCTGTTCTGTTTTGATGAATGCATTGCTTTTCATTTGAGCTCAAGTCTGCTTCTGTCTCCCCACCAACTGTTGTCCATTATCACCTTTTACCACTCATTATATCCTGATTGCTTCACAGTGACAGGACATTTTGGATGCAGTAAAATACAAATCTGAAACTACTCAAATGAGTTCTTTAAAGAGGCACTCCACAGATTCACATCCATAAAGTTGGGGTACTTGTAAGGTTAAGATCGCTGCAGCAGAGGCTGAAATACCCTCACTTTTTATCCTTCACTTCCCATAATGCAGCTCAATTGCATCATTCGTCAGACCCTCCTCCTCTAAAGGCTTGAAGCTCTCCAACTCCAGGCCCACGGTTCATGACGCAGGAGAATACAACAGATTCCAAGCATAATTTGAGAAAACCCTGATGACAGAAAGAAAGCCACTGAGGAAATAATACAACTGTTTTCAGGCTGCGTTGTCCCCCTGAAGACAAGTGAACTGATCGTGATGTGTAAAACTTGTGGTGTGTACCTTTGATTTGTAATTAACGTCTACATTTGATTTTTTTTACAATCTGAGCATGTTTATATAAATGTTGACCTGGAAATGCAGGTTTAAAAACATTGATCTAAACAGTAATGAGGTAAAATACTGTGGACATTTTATTACACATCAAAAGACAGATGATGATGTTTGTACAATTCTTTTGTGCAGGTTTGGTATACTGCATATCACTATACCGCCAACTTGTGGTCAAATTATGAGTTGCTCATGATGATGCTGTGAGAATATCACTAATGTGACCTAAATGGTTTGTAGTGAGTGAAATGTTTGTGGTGGCAGGAGTCTATACCCTCTGAAAATAAGATCCTCTTGGTTTTATTTAACATTAAGTGCAGCACCGTACACGCTACCTATCCCAGCTGTGGAGACAATCTCTTTATTTGACTTTCATTTATATATCTGTGTTTGTGCATTTGATTGCGTTTTATTCTATGCAATTATGTTGTATTTTATCTGGACCATGAGTCTGAATAGTAAGTACATCATATCATAGTGGATTTTACATTTTAGTAATGCAGCTGATTATGCAGCATTAAATACATTAGTCAGTTCAAATAGACTTTAAACCTTTAAATAATTAACTGGGAAAAGCCTTTAAATATCATCTAGTGTAAAACACAGATACCAGAGATGTTTCATGTACATTTGTTTCAGTTTAATAGATTTCGGTTGTTGTAATGCCACCTGTACATTATTCTTCTCAACGGTGGAGAACAGAAATATTTATTTGGGCAAAAGTATCAAAATAGAATAATGCCCTTTACCACTTCACTTAAGTTCATATCAAAAGGCATATTTCATTTATTGGAGCACAATGATAATATTTGCATATTTATAGTTCAGTTTCAACAAAGCTCTTCAGCTATTTGGAAACAAAATACAGAGAAAACATAAAACTGAAACACTCAATTCTTTATATGTCAACATCAGTTGGCAGGTAGGAGTTGACGTAAGAAATTGTGTCACTCTGCTGTATAAATACTAAACACCTGAGAATGACAGGAGTGACATGTGTTTGTAAAACAGCAGAGGGCAGAGCTGTGCTAAATCTGCATCCAGGTGGTCAAGCTTGTGACCCAATCACCTAAAAACACATTTAAATGCCAAATGTAAATAGAGTAAAAGTTGATGACCTTTGCCCGAGCCGAGGGGCTTCACTGCTTCAGTTTCATGTCTGGTGATTGTAATTTTAGCTCCTAGATGTCTCTTACGTCCTTCTAAATGTTTCTCTTTCAGCTTTTTACAATAACAGGAAAACAAACAGACCCCCAAAAACCTTTAGCACCACATGTTGCATTGTAACCAAGTGATTTAGAAAAGCACTCAGATGAAAGTGAAAAAATATAGTGAACAGTGTAAAAATAAAATAAAAAAATAAACTGATATATCTGTGCAAACTTTGTGTAACCTATACAGTCAGAGCAGGCTGGGAACCACATTCAATATAGAAGTGAACAAGCTTTTGGAGTGTGGCGAACGCACTGTGACTGTATCAAAGCCACATTTTACTACAATCTGAAAAGCATTTATGAACGCATGATGTTATGTCCCACATGTGGCAACACAGCCATAAACACACATACTGAGGAGGTAACAGTGTCACTGCAGATATAAAATACATTTGAAGTTTTGTCTCGATTCACAGACATTGAGAGAAGGCAGCTTGGCTTTAGGCTCGCTGCGAGGCCAGACCTCGACAGTGCAGGTAAACGGAGAGGGGATGGATGAAGGCGAGCAGGCTGAGCAGTGTCAGAGCGATGTTCAGCTGGAGGAGAGACAAACATGAGGGGGTGTTTTAGAGATGGTGAAGCTAAAGGCCTGGATTCACAGTTTTTTCACCAGCTCTGTCGTGTACTCACATATAAAGGGTCTCCACCCAGACGTCCATTCACCAGAGTGACGAAGGGATACTGCAGTAAGGCAACCACCGCAGACAGAGCCATGATCAGACCGTAGAGCTTCCCAAAGTGACGAGACGGGAAACTACAAACACAAAAGGACGGCAAGACAAAGAGAAATGACTCATCAGAGCATCAGCACAGAAAACGAGGAACTCATAGAACTTGCATTTTTATTTCGGTACTCCGTCCTGATTAGGGCTTTTAAAACATAGACTATCTCAAGTCGGGTGTGAGCACATGCCCTAACTTTTAGCATTTCCTTTTGAGGTTTGTAAATGATGGTAACTACCTAGCTTAACATTGGCGATCATCATTATTTAGTTTTAAGTTTTGTATGATTTTATTATAAACACGTTACATAAAAGACTTTTAGTGTTGGACACAGTTACAGATCTTTTTGAATTTTATCGTGTTTGTAGTTTTGGGTTGTTTTCATGTCTGCAGGTGATATTAATATATAATCCCAACTCTATTATGATATATTTTCTTTCCTGTTAAAGTTACAGTGTGTAGAATTTAGTGATATCGAGTGTTGAAGTTGCATGTTGCAGCTGAACACCCCTCACCTCACCCTCTCCTTCCAAACATGAAAAAGAACCTGTGGTAGCCTTTAGTTGTCATAAAAACTCAAAAGGTGTTTAGTTTGTCCAGTCTGGACTAATGTAAAAAACATGGCAGCCTCCGTAGAGAAAGTCCCCTCCATGTCAATGTAAAGTAGTTAAATATAAAGGGCCTTTTCTGGGGTAAAGAAAAATAGAATTTGTACAATTTAGATTAAACGAACAAGTGAACACATCATGAGGATTATTCTACATTAGATTACTGACAATGTAAATTTTACACACTGGACCTTTAATATGCCATCGTACATCTATAGATGCTTTACTGGACGACTCATAGTTGCTGACAAATACATTAATAAATAATAACAACAATTATAGGCCAATAATGACAATAACAATTATATTTGTGTGGTACTTTTCAATTCAAGTCATAAAGTGGTGTACAACAAACAATATAAATCTCCTTGTAATCAGGTGATTCTTTTTCAGGAATTACAAATACAAGAAATGAATAAAGCGCTCTCTGTTGTGCAGTCATGTGTTACAGTCCGACTGCGCAAATGTATGTTTGTAAAATGAAGTGTGTCTTAATGCTTATAAAAATGTGTCTACTGTTCTTCTTGCCTCGGGAACACAATGCATTAGTGGGCCCACAAAAGAACTGCTTGTCTTTGTGGGTCTATGTGTATTGATACTCACGCCACACTGAGGAAGGCCGCGTTGCCGCCGTAGAGGAAGGAGCGGTTGAGCACCTGCAGGATGAAGGTGAGGTACTGAAGAGGCAGGTACGGGATGGTGGCACAAACTGAGAAAAACACACACTGCAGCGCTGTCAGGAAGAGAGAGAGCACGGTGGCCCGCAGGTCGGCCTCCTGTTCACTCTCGCCTGGAAACAAACACAGTGTGTAACGCATGTTATCTTAGGATGACAAGAGAACACATGTTGCAGACTCTGGTTTGTGGGGGGGGGCATGTGCTTGGGGTGACTTGTCATAATTACCCAGAGCAAGAGGTTTGCCCTTGTGTCTGTCCATGATGAGGCCGTTCCAGGGGGCGCAGAGCACCCCACACAGCTGGGTGATGGCAAAGGCATTGATGTACTTGCTCACTGCAGAGAAACACAGGCAATCAGTGTGAAGGAGGAAAGGTAACAATGGTGATTTCATGCTGTTAAGCTCACTAGTGTTTAGTTATAGAGCGGTAAAAAAAGATACGTTTATTTGTAAATAATTCTAAACTAAGCTTGTCTCAAAGGGCTTTAAATACAAGTAATCATTCTATAAAATTGCCTAAGAATCAAATCAATATATTTGCACTTGGATTAACAGTTTACAGAGAACTTTTGGGACTTTACACAAAATATGCCCAAGAAAAAACAACCGCTAAAACAATAAAATATATTTAAAAATTGACCTTTCACCCAGTGTCAGCTGGTGTTTGCAACAAATAATTAACGGTATACGTAATGGATAGATATGGATGATGGTAAAAGGGTGGGACACTGGCCTAGAGAGAAACGATAAATATTAAATGCAGATTCATTTAAAAGGAGCTGGTCCAGTGCAGTTATGTGTAAAGTGCAGGCTGATGTGTGCATGTATGTGTTTACCCAGCGAGGGCTCTCCAGCTGTCAGCCCATCCAGCATGGGGTTGAGGGTGCCGATAAACAGGTAATGTCTGAGCTGCATCACCGACAACCAGAGCAGGTGGAACACAAAGAACCTGGACAGCAAACACTCACGGAAACTCTTCTCTGAGACAGAGGAGGGGACGTCACATGGGACATACAGTCATTCTTTCACATCTGGATGTTTAGATCAGTGCCACAGTAAATTGCACAAACTGCAGTCACACACTCAAACCTTGTTTCACAGGGGCGTCCTTGTCGAGCGGTGCGTGCGTCTCGTCTGTCTCCGTGTTCCCATTCTCCGCCACTTTGGAGCTCAGGGTGGTTGATTTACCGCATGTTATCCTGACAGAGGTCAAAGGTCACAGTGGAGTCAGAGACAGACTGAGGGGACTGTGGGAAATATTCCACTTTTTTTAAGGGGTTAAATTCTAACTCAGAATAATCACACAACAGGATATGATGGATATTTCAACCGAGAGAAGGGATGAAGAAGGTTCTTATCGTTGACCAGAACATTCAGTTTTTTAATCTATTTATAATTCAAACAGGAAATTCTATCCCGCCCAGATTTTGTCTCGTCACAGGTAAAATGAGTTATTATGAGTGTTATTGTTGCAAGTGTAAACATACAGGTCCTAGAAACAGCACATTTTCCCAAACAATTTACAGTAAACAATGTTTTTCTGGAGAGCACAGATCAGAAAATCTTGAATTTAAGTCCCTCCAAGTGAGTGAAGTTGACTAAAAGACACTTTTATAATTGAAAACGTGATTAAACCTTCAATAATCCTTCAAAAACAAATTCAGTTATATTCTGATGTAGATTATATAAGTATATATTTCATGTGATTTTCCTTTTTGTCTTGATAGACAAAATTATGAGCCCTGTTTACACATGACACAGGAGCACATGACACACATGTGAGGGGGTGATGTTTATGGCGTGCTGCAGACTCATACCCGTAGGTGTAGTTATCAGGCAGCGGGTAGGGAATGAATCTTCTAGGCAACAAGAAGAAAGTCCTGAGCACATGAATTATGCTGCAGGCCGCCAGGAAGAGGAAGGCGGATCGGAGGGAGACTCCAACCTCATGTAACAACTGCAGGAGAAAACAAGAGCAGATTGAGATCATCATGAGAAGATGAATAATAGATTCTATCAAAGAGGGCCACGTTTGGATGTTTCTCACCTTGATGATAAAAAACAGGGCTGAGGACGAGTCAAAGGCTCCGTTATAGAAAGTGATGATGGTGGAACGATGTGAGCCGAACAAGTTTCCAACCTGCAGGAGAGAAATTCACATCGTCACAACAGATGAATGTTGTGTCTCTCCCTCTGTGTGATAAAGGCTTTCTCTTTGTAACCATCTCCTATCATTTGATGTGACTTGACATTATTTTTCCTGATTGAGTATGTAGATGTGATCTTGGTGTCACTGCGTCGCTATGATTTAAAAAGCTCAGAGATTGGTCTGAGAAAAGCCCTTTATTCATATTATTGCACTAATTATAGTACTCAAACAGTTCACTGAGGGCAGAGCCTCTTGTCTTTTGTTCATCTAAAGACTTTTATCTGGAGAACATGAGGATCTCAAAGATCATGAGGTCAAACCTTGGGACGAGATGGAGTTAATGATTCTTGATCATGTGTCTATTTAGATTTAGATGTTAGAAACAAAAATACGTGGAGGACATCCAGAAAACAAATATATATATTACTAAATCTAAAAGAATGTGACAGAGTTATTTATTTGTTGCAGGGGGGGAATGTTTAATATTGAGCTAATCTCAACTTTCATTTTCAAAACAATTCAAGAATTTTCTATTTTTGAACATTCCATGAATGTGTGTGAAGTACCTGCATGTTGGTCATCAGAAACAAGATGCCGCCGACTGCCAGGAGGGTGATAGCTGGGAAGAGCAGGTTGGACAGAGCTGATGTAAAAAAGGACAAAATGGGAGAAATGAGGATCCATATCTGTCAGCTGTAACTCTTCAGTCTTTATATTTGATAATTGTTGACAAAATAAGGCAGAAAACCTGACGCAGACAAAGAATTATTTTTCACCTGAAGAGGAGAAGGCCACCATCAAAGTGCCCATGGTGTAAAGAAATCTAGTGGGGGAAAAAAAGAAATTCCATAGGCTTCATATTATTCATTTTTAGCATCTCAAAACAGAGAATTTGAGATGCTAATCCAAAAATCGGGTTAAAAATAAATAGAAATCTACACCGTCAGTAATAAAAAGAAAAATGTGACACTCAATACTATAAAAACATGTTCCCACCAAGTTTTTATTCTTTTAATTTCCTTCTCTCAGCCTGTCCAAAGCTAAGATCCACCCTCATCTCATTGCCGCCTCTTCTCTAACTATTTGCATTCCTTAAGTTTTTATTTTTCCTCCACCCTCTTTTAGTGGAAACATATGATGTCCTCAGTGCCCCTTTGTTATTGGGGTTTTAGATAATCTAGGGCAATAAACTGGGCAGTGCACGGTGTTATCTTAAAAAACAGATAAACTCTAAGCCAATGGAAACAGAAACATCTGCAGGAAAAAACATGTTTCTAATACTTCTCCATCTTTAAGTGATTTATGGTCTTATAAACTTTTCGGTTTCTTAATCATTATCCTGCTCTTTAGAGATTCTCAAGGGTTTGGTATTTCATATGCTTCATATTTATGTGTGCGTCTGCTGAGAACATCCCTCGAGGTATTCAATGTGAGGAGCAGCCAAAATATCCTTGATTTCACAAAATGTCCCTACTTCTTAGTACTCAAAATAGTCCTTACAAAGTAACAAGTACACACACACATGCACTCCTGCACACAAAGTATAAAGACCTACAATACCCTCTCCATGTGAGAAAATAGCTTCTGTTGTAAGTAAACAGATTTGTGAATCTCTCTGAGGGTAACACCACAGACAGAGTGAAACCACAGCACAAACACCTCTGCACAGAAGTGTTAGCTTATCCACCACAGGCAGACTGAGTCGAGTCATGCTGGGAGAGGGCAGTGGGTCGTCTATCGTCAGTGAAAACACGTTTGGTTTGGCAGAAGTGTGATGTTGATAGGAGAGGCTGCAGCATCATGATCATAATGGGCATTTTGGTGAAGAAACTGGAGGTTAAAGTGACAGTTATTAAGTAAGTACTAAGTTTTCAATGATTCAATTTGGACACAAAAAAATATGAATGCAGTAAAAAAAAAATGCAGCAAAATACTTGACCCTGATTATTAACATTTCACTGGAGGTTATCATTACTTCGGCCAAGGAGGTTATTCAATTCAACTTTGTTGCAGAATTACACAAAAACTACTCAATTGAATTTTATGGGACAAGAACCAAGCAAGTCCTCATCAATTTTAGTGTAGATCCAGATCAGGATGCAGAACAAGGAATTTACTTTCACTTTTCTTTAACATTGCAAATGTTTTTCAACATTTCGTTGATTAATAATAATAACAATAATTAGTGAAATAACTTTTAACTAGTACTTTGGTGTTTGGTTATTGCTAACTGAGCAGTTTTTGTCAGATTATTAATTTCCTTTTCTACTTACAGAGTTCTGATACTCTTAGATAGAATCGAAGCTTACATCAATTCAAGTTGTGGGCAGGGTGTGTTATTTCCTGATGCAGACTTAGATGATGCACTTACATTTTGCTAAAGATAAATTCTCGCTGCATTAAATGATCAGACCTCTTGTTAGTGTACAAGCAGATCAACCCAGCAGGAAACACTTTTTCTCACTAATAATAACATTAACAAACAGCTCATGTTGCTCCTCTTTACTCATCAGTGTTTATCAACCTGACTGTCCTGTACTGAGTAACTATTTGATAAGAGACTCATTCACTCTCGTGTGACGCGTGTGAAGGTGTTGTACTCACATTCCAAAGAGCCGGGCCACTGTCGTGCCAAAATGATCAAAGAGGAAACCATTGGGCAACGTTAGGAAATTGTTCATGAAGGAAGCGATGGTGAAGACAAGTGAGAACTGCTCATCCTGTCCACTGCAATCTACACACACACACACACATTTATTTGAGACGACATTGTTAAACCTTTTGCAGAATAGAATAATTGTATAATACAGACATGCAGAATTCAGAGCTGTGAGTGTGAGGACATCAAACTGACCTAAGACCTGAGTTCCATTGACTCCTGTGGTGTTGACGCACAGATCGCTGAAGTAGCCCTCTGTCTTCAAGATGAAAACAAGCGAAGCCCATCCGAACACAGCTCCAGCAAAACACAGACACTCCACCAGGCCCGTGGCAAAGGTGAGGGTGCGTCGCATTGACAAGCCATTTTCGAAACCAGGCATGGTCCCACTCACACACACACAAACACACAAATGCAGGGGAATAATACAGAAGATCTATATTTTCACCTGCATGGAAATTAACTGCACAAAGTCGGAGATCCACACACAAACACACAGTGCACCTGGTAAAAAGAAAGAAAAGAGAAATATAACTCAGTTTGTAAAGCATTTAAAAAGGATTCACAATTACAGCATCATTACATTTTGATGGTAAAAATCATTGACTTGCTTCACATGTCAAAAAGAGCAGGCAAGGTTAAAGTTGCATAAGTGAGACAGGAGCAAAAAATGAAAACATCTGGGCTCAAAACTGGGCTATCCCACGAGCAAAAGAAAGATGAGTTGCAGGAAATTACATAAACAGTAAACCACAGAAGTTATATTGAGTCAGAAACCGGTTGCACATAAAACACAGAAACAGGAGCAGTTAAAATATTAAGATATTCGAATGTTAAATAAATAATCATCTGGTGAAGCCATACAAAATAAATATCCTGCAAAAGAAAAATGTTAATATTCTCTTCTTTCCTCAGTAACTCACTGGTATTCAGGAAAAACAAGTGGGAGTCGGAAAAAGATGCGTTTTCGCAAACCACACCACTTTGCTCTTACTCCACTTCTCTAATTTATATAGTCCAGCTCTTCTCCCTCCTCCCCCTCACTAGATCCCTCCCTTCACAATATACCCCCCCCCCTCCTCGTCCTCCTCTCTAGAAAATCCCTCTTCTTCAGGGCCTGCAAAGAATGAACCCTCCCACATTCCCTGACAGCCAGACACTGGTTTAGCTCTAGATGTGTGAACAAAGCATCCATGGACCTTATCAATTGTCAGCAGGCAGGAAGACAGGGATGCTGCAAGTACCTCATGACTTCCCATGATGCCACAGGCCTCCCAGAGGAAAAACTTACTGGTCCCTATAACCTTTGTGCAGAATAAAATCATATTTGTACACATATTGCTCCAGGTCAGGGATACCCTGCTGCTGCACATCCCTCCCTGCAGACAGCTCTCTGTGCGTTTCTTTTGTACACCAGCATATTCAACAAGTAACCACACACTGACAGTGTGCTTCACACATCTTTTTGCATATTTGATGTGAAAGACACCTCTCGGTGACAGGGTCAAGGTGTTTTTCTTTAAGATTGTATTATATTTTTTTAGGATTATATTTATATATACATAGTACATTTCCCTTTTATTGCTTCTTTTCAGCAGTAAGGTATTAGAAAGTAACAGGAGCATTTTAGCACAGATGTTTGCTGCTGTTCTGTCAGTGTGGGAGTGTAAGGTTTCATCTCCTGCTCCCTTAATCTCCTCTGACTCCTGAGAGGGTCCAGAGAAAGATTTTGGAGAATGCGTCTACGACCTAGTTTGAGCTTTTTGGGGGTAAATGACCACACATTAAGTTCATAGTTAAAGGGCAACACAAAGTACTATCCTGTGTTTATAGCAGCCACTTCAGCAGGTGTGCCTGGTTGGATGAGAGGAAGATTTTTCTTCGTTCTTTCTTTCTTATATTATTTGTATGACTCTGGTTTGTAGGTTGTTTCCATTATCCCTGCCATTAGAAGGTTGTTGCCATGCAACTGTTGCCATTGCAGATGAGCAATCAAAGCATATGCCATCACATAATCTTCATTTGCATGCCCACACTCTTTTTTAATGGCTCTTTTTAATCTGATGTTGGTTTCTTGTGTGAGTGGGATCCATCCAGCTGATGGGGGTCAGCGGAGATGTTGCTGGTCGTTGAGGGTAGAGATGCAAATCAGTGCTGAGAGTCCGACTCCGCTCATGAGATCTAAATGTATATATAACCGCTATCATCACTGCATCATAAGACACAGCTCTCTTTAAACATTCACATCATGTGACTTATGAAAGAGAGAGCTTGCACTTCCTGAAATTTATACTAAAAACCCACAACACCACCACCACCACTTTACACATGTGCATGTGAGTGAGAGCAGACAGAATCTGAGACCTTTGAGACACTTTCTCATATCATCACCAAATCCCATGATCATATAACAAAACATGAATTCATCTGTATAGCTTTTCTCTGAAGCCACAAACATATACAACTTCCTGTTCTGAACCACACATCCATTATTGTCCAACAACTATTGAAATCTACAAAAGCCACAGTGTTGCACTGAGCTGCATTTGCTTTCATTAGACTGAACTTACCCTGACCAACAAGCAACATGGATACGTCCTTAAAACAGACGTGGGGAAGATCTGCTGCTCGGCAACTACAGTATCGATGAGCGACCTGCCTGAGGGCCCTATGGCAACGATGAACTGCTAGTCCTCTATTGACTCACCATTCCTCCCGCAGTGTGTGTCGTGTTCCTCTTCTCCAATTCATATTCTCGAAATCAGGAGTATGGACTTAGGCCTCACAGCTACATCTAGATGCAGAATGAACCTTAAACAAAGACTCGTGACTCGTGAACTGTGCTTTCACGGTGCACGTCCCAAACAAGTTGATCATTTAATCGCCCGCCTGATGGCAAACAGTTGGGATTTCTGGGGCTTTTTGTGGGTCTATAAGAATCCAGGTAGTTTATCACTTCGCCTGTTTGGAGATCCGTCCTTTAGGTTGGTTGGTTCCTTCATGATTCTGGAATCTGGAGAATCTCCATTTGTCTAGAATTGAGATCACATCTAGATTAATATTTTTCAAAACTATTTCTCCTTTGGGAGAAAGTAGGAGCGTGTGTTTTGATACAGCCGATGTCACTAATTGAAATGGAGCAGAATCATTGTGGTGTGAATCAGGCAATCTTAAAATGATTCATTTTAGTTAAGGGTAAGGCATGAATGGAGCTGGGGCTCGGAGGAGTGTATGCGTGTGTATGTTTCTATGTTTGCATAAGCAGAACTGACACTCTGCTGTCGTGCGAAACAGTAAGAGCTGATATCAGCAACTTGATATTAATAAAACATGTCATCATATTCAAAGCACAGAGATGAACCACGGGACTCATGTTTCTCCACCTCACTCTCGACTTCTTCTTTCTAAAAATGTTTAGGATGAGGATGAAATGCCACATGATGAGATCTGATGACAAAGTCCTCAAATGATGCAATCTTGTGAATGACAGCGTTTTCACATGCATGTGCATTAATGCTGCACAGGTTGGGTCCATATCACACATTAATGTTCGATGATGATCAAGTACATTTTTCCAGAATATAAGTAAACTTGAATAAATGGGTATAAAGGTTAATGTGAAATGGACTAAACTCAGTGAACTCAGTTTCATTGAATCAGCTCCACTTCGCCCGCCCTCCTGCAGGGTTAAACACACACCAGGTTCATGTTTGAACATTCAAGAGCAGCAGATTTTAACCCAAGAAAAATACTGCACCTCTGTTAATGAGACTCTGTTACACAGACTGTTTGCACCGTGCATGTTACACAGTTACACATTTCATATTGTTTTTTCTCATGCTTGACCGGGTTTGACATGAGGCCATGACTGTAAAGTTTAAGTGAGGACTCTAGTTTTACTCTCGTCACAAAATGATTTTTATGTACTGTATTTGTCTTTTATGTATGTATAACTGCATGAGCAGACGTGTGTGCGGAGGACTGACCTATTTGTTAATCTAAATCTCTAAATCTTAATCTTAATCTACTTTATGTTTACGATGATGGCTTAAGAGTAAGCAGTAACTCACATCTCCAATGACAGTTGCCTCTGAAATGTATGTCCTATTTCTTCTTGGGATCATCACAGACAGTAGTCCCAAGTAGAATGATGGTGGAATTTAGACGCACACATAAATAATTGAATGTTTAGTGTTTTCATGGCTGGACATTGGAATTATGTCATAGAGCATCGTGCTGAAGAGAGGAAACCCTTGTCACAAGTAAGGAAGTGAAGACAGTATATCAGGCCTGGTAGAGCATCAACAAACATAAAAGTGACGTGCAGAAGTCACAAGAACAGCAACAACTAGAATAGCGATAGAGAGCACAGACCTCCACCAACGCCCAACAGTCCCCTTATAAAACCAAGTTTGAGTTCATCATATCTGGATTTTTAAATGGATCAGCACCAAATTGTGGAAAATGTTAAAATAAATTATCTTTTTTTCCTGGATCAACTCTCTGATCTGGAGCCACACCAATATGTAAGGGGTTCTTTCTGTGGTCGTGCCCCACCACTCTACAAAGTTTCAGGGAAATTGGTTGAATCATTTTTTTGCGTTATCCTGCTGACAAACAAACAAATACAAAGCCTGGACAGGTCAAAATTATAACTGTGACCTACTGCTATGGCTGGACCATATGGCGAAAAATTATTTCAGGATAAAATGTTGATATCAGGCGATAATCATCATAACACATGTGATTTCTTTAAAGTTGACAGACTCTTGCCTCTGAGTGAAAGTTGTAGTTTTTGTCTTTAAGCTGACAATGACCAACACTTGATAAATCTGAGGAAAATCAAATATGTCTAACAGTGACAGCCAGTAAACTAATGGTAACATCTAGAAATCTGTTGGGATTCACATTCCAAAGTTCTATTTAAAGGGACAGAGTTGAAAATAAATCAGTGGATACAAACAGTAAAACTACAAACAAGTCAACTCTTTACGTACAAACCAGAGCAAAGCAGTTGCACAATGGTGAGAATCAGCAAAACAAACATGTTTAAAGCTAAAGTGTTTGACGGCGTAAAAAAAAATTCTGCACACAGACATATGACATAGTTAATCAGTGGTGTTATGATGAAGTCACTGCACTGGTCAGGACACACACACACACACACACACACACACACACACACACACACACAGTCACACAGTCGTGTGATAAGTCAGAGTCAGGATCAGAGAGAAAAAGCAAAAAGCCTCTGATCTATTTAGCAGTTGTCTGGAGTCTTGTAGTGGGAGGATGTATAGCTTTACTTACGTGGGGCTATGTCCTCCTACCGCAGCCCCATTGTCCACACCATCCACATATTGTTCGTCCCATAAGACGCAGGGGCCCAGTGGGGAGGACCCACATGCTGCGGCCGCTGCTGACAGGATGGGCGTGGGTGCACACACTTCTGTTTTGCCATCAGATAAAAACACATACATGTAAGTCAGCCTCTGTGCTGCTGCTGTTGCTGCTGCTCATCCTGACTCCTCCAGGTCCAAGTGCCCCCTTCCCTTTATACCTTCTCTGGATTCTCTTGAGTCACTTGCTCATGGACATTTTTCAGTTCTTTGAAGGTCTGCATTGCGAAAGTTGCTGATGATCAACATATTAACATATCAAAATGTTTATATACACGGACATATACATGGTTAAAGGAACATTTTCTTCTAAACGGTCAAACTAATGTGAACACCTTTCTCACTTCTCTTTCTTATTTTTCTTACTTGTTCTCTTTCTCTTTTCTCACTCACATAGATTGTTGATCATCTAAAACTGGATTTTAAAAATATAGATTTAAGATTGAATACATCTTTGCAAGATCTTATTTCTGTTCTTCTATTATTTTGTCAATAAAGAACTCAAATATTCAATCAATCGATGCTTAAATCGATCTTTAAGTTTCAAAGAAATGTTTATCTTTCAAAGAAATATGTGAAAATATGCTCTTGTGTTATTTTTCTTTCAGCTCCACGATCTCCAAGAGGCTGCCACTCACCTGTCAGTGTCACAAAATGATGATCAATCTGTTGAACAATCTGCAGCTGATTTACTTAATGAAAAGTGTTTAATGTTAATTAATATCAATGACCCACAAATAACTGTTGCTCTTGATCCACTCATGGAAAGAGGAATGGAGGCATTAAATATTAAATATTTTTCCAGTTTATATCGGATCATATAGTAGATCATGGAGTGTATCTCAGTCTTTGTCTCTTCATCACTATAACCCCTCTATACAGTGACACAGAGGAAGTTACCTTTACTAAGTTTTTGTATGATGGCGCCATCGTGTGACCATTTTGTAAAAACTGCATTACCTTTTTTTTCCCCCTGTAATAAAAAACTGTAAATAAGATACACAATGAAATACTATAGCAACGTTTGAAGTCATTAAATTATTTAATCTTAACTTGTATTTAATGCCACTTTAGACATATAATGAATAATGCACTCTTTACTCCACTCCATGTTACAGTTTGGGATATGAAAAGCAATTTATAATATGTTAACAGATACTGAAGTTGGCAATGAAGAGGAAACATGCAGCTTGTGACCTAAAGCTCATCTTTTAAACATGGAGCTGGTTCTGTTATGGCTCGGGCCTGCATGGCTGCCAGTGGAACTGGCACGCTGGCCTTTACTGAAGATTTTCACTGCTGATGGAAGCAACATGATTTTTTTAAGATCAGATATGAAAACATTTACTCATCCAGCAGCTCTATGATTATCCCAAACATACAAACAAAACAACCAAAGAACTTTTCAGGTTTAAGAAGTGGATTATTTTCTTCTCAGTCTCACTGAGCTGCATCTAGTGGTGTCAATGGTTCAGTCATTGACTGCAGAGAATTTCCAATAAAATATTAAATATGATGATTTTGTTTGACTTAATGTGTCCGATTACTTTTGAATCTCCAGACTTTGAGCACTATATGTTAAAAAAATGATGTTTTCTGACTGAAAAACCAGAACTTTTCATACAACAAAAATAATATAATCATCACATTCTTAGAGAGAATAGATGTATTAAAGTGAGTCAAATTAATAAAATGTAGTGCATTACAAGATAAATAATCTAAAAATATTAAAGTACATTTAAAAAAGGTATGTCAAATAATAAAAAAAGGCTAAAATATGAATAAATTGACATATAAATCAGATCAGCCCAAAGTTGGTACTAACGTTGAGTTGTGTGAATGAGAACATGATTTAAGACATCATGTCATAAATGGACAACTGATTTCAGGTTATGATTTCCTATGAAAGCATAATTTGATCATTTCCTCTGTCCATTGAACTAAAGATTTATTCATAACTTAAAAGTGCTGCATGATTGCAATACAATTAAAGTTAATTCTGTGCTGCATTAGGTTCCTAAACACCGACAGTTAAAATAATCAGACATAATTTTTTTCATTCAACATACAGTAAACAATGAGGTAATGGAGAGACGCAACCAACCTTGTTGCACCTGATCCTCATTCAGACAATGTGCTGAGGTCTGAGCTGTCAATCACCAACAGCTGTCCATTGTTAAACTGGGATTGATCAGGGCCAGCAGCATATATAAACCTGCACCTCCATCTGCTTCTTCAGTGTGAGCCTTCAACATGTTGACTCTGCAATTCTTCTTGGGGTAAGTTGCTGGTCTTGTTTCATGGGCAATTTGTCTGTTTGGGAACTTGTGTTTGATTTTAAATAATTTCAGGGCTTCCCTCTGGGCTCTGCTGATTGTGGACATGTGCTGCGGCCCTGTCAAGAAAGGTAATATCACAGTCTTGTTAAAACATGCGTCAGTAAACTTCATGTCTGAATAACCCTTCTTGTATTCAGGCTTTAATCCTGGTGCATCCTCTCGTGGGAGTTACATGTATCCAAGTCCTCACTCTAACCAGAGGGTGCCTTCCAGCCTGTATTCACCTGGAAATGTGCCTGAAGGTGCTTATCCTGAGGAAGATGCTGCACCATCTTTGCCTATGTCAGAACCGGAGCCTGAGCTAGCTGCATCTGCTGGCTCTGGTTCTTCTTCCAGACCTGTTCAGTTCACAGGCAGTGCAGCGAGGAGAAATCCTGCAGGCCCAACACAGTCAGGAGCTGGAGTTCAATCTGCCCCAAAAGGTAGAATATTTGTCACTTGATAGAAAAGGATTCATGTGCAGATTTATGAAATGCTGATAACTGTTTAGAAGAACTTTTTTACTTTCTACACTTAACTGTTACTAATACTTCAAAACCATCAATGAGTAGAATAGGGCCTGGCCCTGACAGGTGTTCAATGACTGATCAGTTTAAAAATTGTGACAATGATTTTCTGGCAACTTATTAGAGCCTCTGAATTTATCTCTGCACACACCTGTTGTGTAAAAACCTCCTTTGGTAGGATTTTAAATGCAGGCCTTTACTAGATTATTAAAATGCTAATTTCTGTGACCCTTAAATCTCAAGCAAATCTTTTTCTTTTTTTTTCTTCCCACCTCTCTCTAGAGATCAACTGGCTTGTTGCACCTCCTGTCTTTGGTGATGAGGAAACCCCAGATGTTGAATCCAGCAGTGAAATTTACGTGAGTCCCCCTCTTCGACCAGCGTACCAGGCAGGGGAGCTGTCCCATTATGAAAAAAGCACTGAGAGCGGCAACTACCAGTCGGAGACTGAGGAGCAAGCCTCCCTGCCACCACCTCCTGAACCAAAGTATGCTTACATGATTCCTCTCCCTCGGGATGAATCTCGTGAAGAAAGCTACATCAGCCCACCGCAGCCAGGCATTGGACCTGCTAGAGGCTGGATCGTTTATCCTTACTATGACTACAGGTTCCTGACTGGCAACTATCCAACTGGCACATTCAGTCAGTTCAGTAGCAGCTTTGAGCAGGGGAATGACAACTGGAAAGATGCTCACTATGTGAGAGATTACCTTCCCTACCGTGCTCCCTCACAGCTAGTCAACACTCCCACTGAGTTTGAAGCCCCTCTGACCACTGAGGCTCTTAAGGCTCCTGCAAAGGGTGTCTCTAAACGTGGTGGTGCAGCAGCAGCTGTCCGATCCGCTTCTTCCCGTAAAACTGCCATGCGACCACCTTTTGAAAGATATGGTTAGGATTGTCTAACCCAGTCAAGGTAAATTGACAATCTTGCACAAAAGTTCTTCGTCTTTTCTTTTTACTTGTGCTAATGGTGAACTCTTGTCTTTCAGTATGGTTAAGAGGTGGATCCCTCCAGCAGGATTTCACAGAATTCAATAAAAGACCTTTTCATATACTTACGATTCATGAATTTATTGACATGTGAAGGAACTGTTCCACATGGCAGTGTAATTAAATGTTTATGGTGGTGACAATCAAGGAGAAATATTGCTTTAATATGCAGTGTCCTTTGGTCTTAATGTGCATCATGGAGTCTGGAAAGGGATGCATTTGAAAAGTTGATGGGGGGAGAAAAACACACACACACACACGTACCCAAACTATTAGGGGAAAACTGCTATACCAAATGCTCTTTAACCCCACCCCCTTCTGTCAGTTGTTGAAGTCCCTTTTTTTTTTTTTAAACATGGTATTTTTTTAAATGAAATGGCAGAAAACAGAAATATTGGTAGACAAACTTTGCAGTAAAATAAAATTTAAAAAACAGACCATTCTGGTAGATGTCTTCAGAAAACAAGTGTTTGATTTGAAAACCCCTTAAATCAGGGGTCTCAAACTCAATTTACCTGGGGGCTGCAGGAGGTAGAGTCTGGGTGAGGCTGGGCTGCATCAAGTGCTCCACAAAAAAAGGGTTTCAGGTATTCCAAAACATACAACTTATCCAACCATCTCAATCTTTATGATGAACAGTTCTTCAACATCAGCAGTTCTTCAGAACATGAACGGTTTCAATCAAGTGACTAACGCTTCTAATTCGCTTTGGCTAACTTGACAACAAACGCCACCGGAAGCTGTCAGGGCAAGCAGGGCCCACGAAACGACTCGACAAAAAGGTGTGTTTGAGATAAACGCGCAGGCCGCACGAACACTAAACTTTGTCAAGTAGGGGGCCACAAAATATCGTCCAGTGAGCCGCAATTGGGCCGGGAGTTTGAGACCCCCTACCTTAAATGATTCATGTCCATTTGAAGACGTTTGACCAAAGTGAAAATTTATCAGATGTGGAAAATTAAGACTAATATCTGACATACGCAGCTGCTTTCTGTTTAAAAGAAAATTGACGCTGGTAGCACATCTAACTGCTGAAGTCTACAATCCCACTAGGGTCAAACTATCCCTTTTGAACTCAATGAGACACAAACCTTTTACTCTTGGATGCAGTGGTCCTTCTCCACAGCGATACAGAAGATAAGCTGTCACACTATGTACAAAAAGTTGTGTGAACCTTAATTGTAGTCAGAAGCTCTGAGCTAACTTCAACACCTATGGGTGCACTATATCTTGCAGTTGGTAACCTTGACCTCTTGCCTTCTCTGATACAGCCTGCGATTTATATATATCAAAAACTAAATGTTGCATCTCTTTAAAGTGGCATTACTGTTCCATACCATAGACCTTGTGGCGCAATGGTAGCGCGTCTGACTCCAGATCAGAAGGCTGCGTGTTCAAATCACGTCAAGGTCAAACAAGTTTCTGCAGAACAGTGTCACATGTGGTGCTTCTGGGTTGTGAGGAGGGTTAGAACTCAATAGATAATATTTCACTCACCCAAATTCTGCAGACATGTTTGTTGTTGCTCTCCACCAGCACATGATCAGGGAAAATGTTCTGTGCAAGTAATTTGTTCACTCTGTTTTGGAAACTGCTTTATAGATTGGCCTTTGCACTTGTATTGCATACATTTAAAGTAACATGACAATATCAAAATACAACACTTTGTGGCCCAATGGTAGCTGCATGTTAAAATCACATCGAGGTCAGAAGAAATCATGTTTTCAATTGTATCCGTCTATCCACAGCATTGGGTGCACCTTACAGTTGTGCACAAATCTAAGCAACTTAAAGAAAACTCCATATCAGGGAATAACTCAATGTTCAATTTGGTTTTATTGACGAGCTTCCATTTCATCCTTCTATACTAACATCAGTGTTTGATTTCTCAGACCTTGTGGCGCAATGGTAGCGCATCTGACTCCAGATCAGAAGGCTGTGTGTTCAAATCACATCAGGGTCAAAAAGATGTGTTATAAATGCTGTCGTCTGTGCATTTCCAGATTGTTAGTTTAGAAATCGTTAGATGATGATGTTTCAATCACCAAACATCTACTTTGATTTCTGCAGAAATGTTTTTAATATTCAGGAAAAATCTTTTCTCCAAAGAACGCATCTGTTCACATTTGTTTTCTGATTTATTGATGGCCTTTGGACTTGCACTGCATTTGTCTAAAGTAACATAACTTCTGAACACAGACATTGTCACATCAACGATTTGTTGCAATCGCACTTTTATTGCATCTTTCTTAATTGCTATTACAATTTAAGTATATAGACCTTGTGGCGCAATGGTAGCGCGTCTGACTCCAGATCAGAAGGCTGCGTGTTCAAATCACGTCAAGGTCAAAAGGTTAATTGGAAATTCTGTCCTGTCCTCTATTTCAGGATATTTTAGTCACCAGTTCACCACCAACATTTAGGGTGACATGTTAACGTGCATTCTGGGCCATCACTCATCAAAAAAATCAATTCACATCTTCATGTACAAAGAACACATTCGCTCTCATATATTTATTGATGACCTTTGCACTTGTATTGCATCGTTTTAAAGTATCATAACTGGGCAATCCCATAGACCTTGTGGCGCAATGGTAGCGCGTCTGACTCCAGATCAGAAGGCTGCGTGTTCAAATCACGTCAAGGTCAAAAGAAAGATAATGATGTTTGAATTTTCAAGGACATTTACCACAGTTATATATTAATGAGCACTCACTGCCTTCACTTGATTAAATAATGAAATATCTTACATGCAAACCAACTCATTGGCTTTTGTATGTTTATTAAAGGCCTTTGCACTTGTACTGCACTCGTCTTAAGGATCATGGCGGTTTCCAATCACAGATCTTGTGGCACATGATGGTAGCATGTCTGACCCCAAATCAGAAGGTTGTTTGTTCATATCATGAGGAACAGAATGTCTGCTGAAGTAATGATGAGTTTCTTTTTGACTCTTGCTGCTGTAATACTGCAAATCCCCCCATTGTGGGACTAATAAAGTATTATCGTATCTTATCTTATCATTATTTTGCTTTTTTAAAACTCCAGCAGGCTCTTCATCCACATCCTGCAATCATAGTGTGCACGATGAGCTCACACTGGGTTGATGCGTTTTATCTATCTTTCTTTTTGTTGTTCAAGCTTTTGCACTTTCCCTTGTAAACAACAAACAAAAATTAAATCATATACCAGGATGCTGCCATGTATCTGACCCAAGAAGCCAAATCGGTCTCACACACACACAAACACACAAGAAAGGCGTTGACACTTTTATAGCCACCAAGACTGAGACAGAGAGGAGGAGGAGACCAGGACGTGGGGGGCAGGAGAAGGTAATGACAGACAGAGTGGGAATAAAGATAGACGTGTATTTTTAAAACCATCTGTTATGTGTTGAATGAGGAGATGCGTTGTTATGCTGGGACAGCGAGCTGACAGGCTGGACTTGCACCTACTTTATACTGTATGTATATCCCATTGTAACTCTTATAAAGTGGAAGACAGGGAGATAAAGAGAGATAATGAGAAGAAAAAAACCATTGGTAGAAAAGCCTGATAATGGTGGACAAGGATTTAAAAAGAGAGCAACGTGATGGTTTTCAATTTAATCAGGTAAAGGTTCAGAAATGACAAAAATCACAGTCAGGAATTATGTGAAGGTTAAGTCACTGGTTTCCTTTGAGCCAAATATTCAACTTCTCATACCGTGAGGATTTACTCAGTGATAATCTTGTTCTGAAAGTGTCAATGCTAATTCTCGACATTTTGAGTTTTGGAGTATGTGAAATGTGGAATCTACTCATTAACCAATTTAATGAATAATTGATTTTGCTTTCTTGCTGACAGTTTAATTTATGGTTTTTTCTGAAGCTTACAAAATGTTCTTTATTGTTCAATCTAAACAAAAGCAGATGTGTAACAAGAACAATACTCAGTAGAGTGCATACTTCTGCCAAAACAGTTCCTTTCTGAAATCACATTTTAATTCCTTAACATTTTATGTGGATCTACACAAAATTACATATACATTATAATTATCAGTCCCATAAACATGCATGATTGTTTTGCATCAAGTTCTATGAATTCCTGGATTTGCCCCCTGATCCGGAGCTGCACCAAAATGTATTGGGTTCATCCCTGACCCATACCACAAACTTCCAGTACTGGGTTGTGGTTTTCTGTGAGTGTTGTGCTGGATGTCATTGTTTCCAGTCAATAAATATATGACTTTGAATATGATTGGCCTCAAACATACCAGCTTTGAATGCCAGCATCCAAATATATATATTTATTTATTAATACAAAACACACAGAGGTCTGTTGTGTGCGTGTGCCAGCAGGGTTCATTGACTGCTTGCATGCACCCACCTGTTTGTGTGTATGTGTATGTATGTGTACAGCCAAGGTTTCCACAGCAGACGCAGCTGCTCGCCCCACTGGTCTGCGTCTGTGCCACTGTGGCTCTATTTCGGGACTCTGTGTTGTTGGAAAGGTCAGATAAAGAAGCCTAGGAATCCTCACAAAGCAGAGGGTGGGGGTGTCGGGTGAAGGCGGACATCCACAAACCAACGCTCACACACTCACACAGAGGACAGAGACGGGGGAGACAGGGACAGGAAAGTGAGGTCGAGTAGTGAGAGGAAGAGAGTGAGAGATTAAGCAGGGTTGCTGTGAAGAGGATTCACCTTCGGCTAAATGAAAAGCTGTAGAGAAGACAGGGGATCATTTAGTCCTGGGGTTTAAAAGAAAATCCATTATTGAAATAAACATATCTGCACATCATGGATGGAGAATCACCGAGCCAGGAGACGTCTGAGGCAACAGAGACGACTAATCAGAGTGACACCAACAACAATAACAACCGGGTGAGTATTGGAGGTTAATATTTAAGGTTATAGTAACGTTTCTTTGTAAAACCCACAATGACTGGTGTTAAGTTCTGTTCCAGGAACGGGGCGAGTATTTGTGGCCATGGCAGGTGTTGTGTTTAGAGTGAGAGCAGCAGGACAAGAGAAGTGGTTTGAGTTACATACACTGTGCAACACGTGTTACACACAGTCGCACAGGTTGTGCAAAGTAATGCTCGTGTACACACACAAACACACTGTGGATTTTCTGAGTACCTCTGATGAGTCACCACTGGAAGGCCTGACCTGGGCTGACTGTTCCCGCAGTGTAGGTCATTACTACACAGCGCATGAGCTTAATAATGATATTTGTTATGCAATACAATTAAATTAAACTCTGAGATAAAGTAATATGTCACAGTTCAGAGAAGGTTCAGTGATACTTATGTCTTTAGATTAAACCAGGGCTTTCCGACGATTACACAAAAGATTTTTAAAAAGATATTTGAATTTTAATAATCTGTGATTAGTTTTTATTGGGGTGACACTAATATGTTTATGAGGCGGTTTAAAACCAACAAATATCTCATATAACTTTAAAGTTCAACCTTTCCATTGGATCTACATATGTGAGATACTCAACAAATCCCAGGTCTCACATTACTTGGTGTGTGATATGTGATATGTGGACACTTATCACAAACTTACATAATGTTACTAATCAAACTGACCAGGACGATCACAGATTCATTCTAGTTTCTTTTTATTTTACAAAGACAAACTGGAGCACAAGCAGGATAGATACAGTAGGTCTAATGCAGATTGTATAATACTTCTACTTATGTCTGTGCTTTAATTTATATATTATACAATATTATATTATATTTTTATATTGATATTGATATATTATTAATCTACAGTATTTTGTCAATATCTATGTTAAAGCATTTTGAAAGATTATTTGTGAGACATTTACACCACTGCCTCTCTACTAAAACTAATAGATAATAAAGCTGCAGTACAGTCCTTTAGATATTAACCATGTGTGAATAAAACTTATCACACATCACAAATATTCACAGTTACAAAATAGAAAACTCTAACAGATTCATAAGTGTAAGGTTTGCCAGCAGTTGCACTGTTCTAGATGTGCACTACAGATGCATTTCTTGTGACACAAATTACACAACAAAGGACAATCTTATGTTTCTTTCTTTCTCATCCAGACCGATGAGCCAGAGCCAGAGGGGAATAGAGACACAGCGATGGAGCGCTCAGATATGGAGACAGCAGAAGATCAAGGGTCAATGGAGGATACAGTTCCACAAAAGAAAGGAGGTGATGAGGAGGAGGCCAGTGCTGAAGACACGGACAAACCCCAGACAATAACAAAGTCTGAAGAGGGTGACGCTGAACCAGATAAAGACCAAGCATCTACTGATGTGAAGGACCCAGAAGTGATAAACAGAGAAAAAGAAGAGGAGGGAGACGTGGAAAGAAATAAGAAAGGAGCACAGCAGGTGGAAGAGGTCAAGACCGAGAAAGACGGAGAGGAGCTAAAGGACAAAGAAGAGGAGAAGAGTAAAACGGGGGAAAAGGCAAAGGAAGAGGAGACAGATGTGAGTGGGAAAGCAGCAAAGGAAGCAGAGAAGAAAAAAACTGTCAAAGAAGCAGAGGTAGAGACGAAAGACAAAGGAAAGATAAAAGAAGTAGAAAAGCAAGGGAAGCCCAAGAGAAAGAGTGGAGCTGCTTCCTCCTCTGTCTCCAGACCGAGGCCCTCTGCACGCTCTGTTAGAGCAACCACTAAAAAAACCATAATAGCTAAGTTTGAACAAGGTTCACCAGAGTAAGTAAAAATGTCATATCATTCAGGAAGTATTGATCCACCGAGGGTTTTATTCTAAACTTTATTGTGACATTTTCAGGACACCGGTACCACGCAACTTCAAAATTCAGAGATCGTCTGCAGCCGTGGCCACAGGAGCTTCAATCAAACAGAAGATGCTTCAGTGGTGCCGCAACAAAACCCGAAACCATGAGGTCAGAGCAACATAGATTCTTTATTTAACGTTTCTGATTCAGCTAATCTACTGAATCTAATATAATGTACAAGATGTTAGAATGAGAATATTCTGCTCTCTGTGTCTTTATTCAGTTCTCGTCTCTTGATCTTTCAGGGCGTCAACATAGAAAACTTCTCATCGTCTTGGTGCGACGGGATGGCTTTCTGTGCTCTGATCCACCGTTTCTTTCCAGATGCTTTTGACTACAGCTCCCTCAGTCCAAAGGAGAGGGAGAAAAACTTCACTCTGGCCTTCCAAACTGCTGAGTATGAAGTATTTCATTCTTCACACGGTTCGATTCAGTGTAACCACATGCACAATGAACACTGTAAGGTCATTGTTGGCAACAGATTATACGATGAAATGTTTCTGCAAAAGTAAAAATCGTGACAATAATGACAAAAAATAAAATACAGTATGATTTAAGAGGTTGTTTATTAGCTTTATCAACTGTTTTAATGCATAAACTAATACAACTTGCCCCATACACTTTTTCCAGAGGAATTATGTCAGATTCCTTAAAAAGAGGATGGTCCAAATTTGCTATAAACACATTTCCGTGAATGAGCAGCTGCTGCTCATTAACCCCATTGGCCCCATTTATTTCAGTTTCACACATTTAAATAATGAAATGACAAATAAGAGGTATTACGATGTATGAGTCTCTCTTTGTAAAATCAAATGTCACTGCTTTGCAATGATGCAAGAAAAACCACGATCTTTTACTTATGTAAGAGCAATAACACCACGGAGTAGAAATCATTTATTACCAGTAAAAGTTCAAAGTAAAAAAGTATTCACATTCAACTATACAAAGAACCGAAAGTTAAGTCTACTGCATAATAACAAGTTCAAAAAAAGTAGGACTGCTGTTTGTGTGGGATGGCCCTTTATAATATAATATGTATGTATCTATAAATATGATTTAATGAGGCTTATACTACTTAGCCAACTTTATAAACTGCAGGGTAGCTGGGGATCAATTTAATCCTATTGTAACCCATACTAAACATGAGTATACTTTGTATTATTAATCTGTATCTACTAAGTTTTCAAATAAATCTAATAGGGTAAAAAGAAAAAAGTGTTATAAACTGTTACAAAGAGAAAGCTGGAAGCCGAAGAAAATCGAAATACTCGTACCTCAACATTGTATTTCATTAAAATAGCTGAGTAAATTTCCTTTATTACTTTCCACCTGAGTGATTGTCTCTGCTCCTTCATCCAGGTCACTGGCTGACTGCTGCCCCCTGCTGGAAGTGTCTGACATGCTCATGATGGGTAACCACCCCGACCCCATGTGTGTGTTCACATATGTCCAGTCCCTCTGCCACAGTCTGTCCAAAATAGAGAAAGAGAGGAAGGACAAAGAAAAGGAGGAGAAAGAGAAGTCTAGTAATGAGGGAGAGGAGAAAGATAAAGGAGATGATGTAGCAGGAGAGGTGTTGACGGAGAAGGATGGAGACAAGTCTGCTGACAACGGAAGGGTGGATGGCCCAGCGGAAAAAGAGGGTGAAAGTGCTGAGCCAGAGGTGACTGGCGAGGAGGAGGAGGATGCTCTGAAAAGCTGCGAGGTGGTGAAAGGTGGAGGAGCATTAGTGGAGGCAGAGTCGTAGAAAAACACTGACATCGAACAAAAGACTGAGAAGACCAAAAGGATTGTTGATGGTTGAGGTTCTATGACAAGTAAGTCTTAGTTTGGTGTTGGACTGAGAAACATCCACACAGATTCTGGCATTGTGATGTTACAGTCAGCTGTATGATTGAAAGTTGTTTTTTTATTTAACTGTTGTTTGAGCACATAAAGTAGAACATGTAATGATTGTATTTGTTGTGTGTTTATATAAAGTAATAAATTAAATCATGGACTTGTGACTTTTGATGTAACAATGAAAACTTTGTGTTGTGTTACTCTACCAAGATAAGTGAATTATGAAGAACATGATAGATGTGGTCTTCACAACTCCAAAGGGTTATCTGTTCCACCGGATTGACTTTAAATAGTATTTCATAGAACATCAATTATATTACACCTTATAGAGACATAAACTGTATTATAAAGATGGACGAAATGACTGCACCCAAAAGTGAAGCCAAAGCCTCCTGTTCACCGCCAATTTGTGTGAGCAAGGGGGGTGAATAAAACATTTGCCTTCTGTGACAAGGAAAATCAAAGCTTGATTCATGTGGAATCAAGTTACCACTTCTGTCATTAAATTTGTCGCACACATCATACTGTCCAATTTGTTATTACGAACCACGTAAACATTGTTCCTATGCAACTGGAACACTATCAACTTGGGTTATTCAGGTGTGATGTCATTCCTTGGACCGAGCTCCGAGGTATAACGGAACGTGGCATTATTACCTCGTGACCATTGCTTGGTCATCTCGTTCCCACAACTCATTACCTCATGGACACGACTTAGCTATCTCGTTCCCACCATTCCCACGCCTTATTTCCTCGAGGACAGGAGTTAGTTATCTCGTTCCCACACCTTAATATGTAGGCCAGATAGTGACATTTCTTCACCCGTGTCAGCACGGTGAGAACCAGAGAGCCTGTGATGGGGGTCAAAGGTTAAAGGTGCTGGACGGTAAATGAATCAGTGACCTTGTCAATTCAGAGGCCACGATCTTGGAAATTGGGATGTCCCTGCTCTCGAGTAATTACGGTAATCGCCGTCATGCTACCGGAAAGGCCTCCGTGCTGTCCTCTTTGTGGAGGCTCTCCCTCCCTCCGTGTCGCTCTGCTTTCCATCGGACTTCTCGGCGGCGGAGGACGGAAACATGTGCACGAACATGCGGCCGGACAGCCTGAACCTGGAGTCCCAGCTTCTGTCCATCATGGACGTGCTGGTGAAGGCGGCGGTGGCCGAAATCAGTCAGCTGTTCTCGGAGAGCGCGGCGTCTCTCCGCCTGCACCTCACCCAGAGCCTGAAGGAGAACGAGGCGCTGAGGATGAGGATGAAGGTGACGAGGAGCGAGCTGTTCTCCCTCCGGCTGCAGACCAGGAGCAACCGACCGGCGAGCCGCTTCTCCTCGATCCGAGGAAACGCCCCCAAACCGCGGAGCAGATCTCACGGTAACGAGAACTTTAACTTAACAATAACAATGGCCGACTTCTTACCGAAGTAACGAGGAACGCGCGCCCCCTGCAGGTCAATTAACTTAATTAAATTACAAGACAAACCTAAATACCTGTTTTAAAATGTAATAGTTTATTTTTCCAAATAATCAATAAACTGCGAATCATTACCACG